ACCGGTATATGGATAGAGGTTGACCAAATGTAGTTGTGAATACTAGTGATAGGAGGTTGTCAACTATTACACATATAACTTCAGATCGTTTGACATGTTTGTGGGTTGTTGAACTGATTGGTTCAACAAATAAGCAGCCGTTGTTTGCTGTGGGAGATACTGGTCAGTGCTTCTGTATGAGTGTCAACACTAGGGTGTATATTGAGCGAGTTGAGGGGTGCGTCCTAGGTTCCACTACTAATCACAATCGAACTTTCAAGACGATGCTCAATTGTGTGTTTGAATCTTTGATTTTTAACTAGTTGATTGGCTTTTTTATCTTGAAGTACAAATTAAGATGACTACCATTATTTTTATGTTGAATATTTCAGTGAATATGTTGATCGGCACTACATTTGTCTCGAATCCCTTCACCTAAAATCAACGGTTGGATACAGATTATTCCATCTGTCTAGTACATCTCAGAGAACAGTGTGTTCTGAATTCCATAATTCTACTTGATTCAATACGCATATTGAAATGTTTAATTTGAAAATTTTGTTTTCATTTTTATCTTGTTAGTTGATTTGGTGTACATACTAGAGAAAGTGCGGTCATATTTGCCATAAATATTTTCATGAGTTTTTTCGTGGTGATTAACTTAGGGATCCTCATAGTTCTACATAATTGAGTATGATGATGTATGACGTTTTAAGTTGAGGATAAATTTGTTTGTGTGGATCAATGTTACTGTTTTCTATCAGAATGACGGCTTTCAATTTTTGGCGCTTATATAGTGTATAAATGAAATAAATGGTGTCTACACGGATCGGATTTATTTTAGTAAGATGTGATTCAACAGTAAGCCTTTGCAAAATGTAGAGTTTTTAAACTGATACACCATATTAAATTATCCGTTTTTCTGTCATGCAACTATACAAATAATTAGTTTCTGATGTTGCTAACAAAGGAATTATACAATACATATGAGTATAATAAATCGTTTTATGAGGTAACGAATCTTCACCAGCTTATGTAATTCGTATATATTTTATATACGATCAACCATCGCCTTTATTGATAGGCAATATTTGCTGGTCAAAATTTATGGACAAAACCAAGATTTGTTTTAAAATGCTCATACTTCTTGTTCGATGAGTTCACTTATTCTCACGAAACATTTTGTTTTTGTCCAGTTTCTCTTAATATTGTTATGGCTTCTACTACTCGACAATTTCATGTAGCTGTGTTAATACGGTGTAATAACTTGACCAGAAGCATAGTTTATTGATGACTAGAAAGCATACAATTATAGGCTTTAATCTAGTTAGTTATTGAGTTCATCAGTAATTTTCAGAGTCAATTACATTGTAAATTATCATACTAAAATTACCAAATAATAATAGTATACTTTTATAACTTTTGACAGACTAATGATTTTGTCAACACGACTGGCGGCGATTTACATTTCTAATTTGTGGGAATGATAATATCTTAAACTACAAACCCAAATAAATTAATCTTGAACCAGACGCTTTATGAAATCGGAGACTTAAATCTAGTATTTCTTCTTGTAAATACTAAATAAACTTTTAAATTTACTAAGGAAGAACACAAATTAAAGCATTCGTAACTCTATCAAAAGTCAAACTCACTCTAGATCTTGTCTCTATATGAATTACTTTACAAGTAAATTTCCGAGACTTTGAATTAGTTTGCCGAAATCTGCTTGTGAAATAAAATCATTATCATCGTTTTATCGCTATATAGATAAGCACATACTCTTTGACACTGGTTTAAAGCTATATTCGATATCAATAGCGAAATTATAGGGATGTTAATTATTTGATCATTGTTGCAACTGAATAAACGGCAGATCAACCATAACATTATGATGAATAATATGTATATTTGATTAAAAACATCAGTTATTTATTAATTCTGTCATTCATAAATCTAGTCAGATTGTTAGTTCAGGACAAAATTATTTCAGTATTCAACCTTATTTATGTTGATATACATATGAACGGATGTGATGTTCATCATCAGATGCCGAATTATCTGAAAATGAGCATACAATTTTATTTTACCATAAAACTTCGAAAATTCTGTTTCCCCTCAAATGGGTTTATAACGATGCATTGTTGGGGATTTACAAACAAACAAACCAATTCATTCTCTCTAGTTGTTGATTATTTCAGTGTGACGATAACCATAAGTAAAAACGGATTGTTTATAGTTAATGTTCAGAGTTTTACTTTGATTTTTTAAAACGTTCGAATGGCGTTTCTAGTCATAGGTAAACAATTTTTTATTAAAAAGTTACTTAATAAAAGTTAAGTATGTGTTATTTAGTAAGTGATAATCAGAACGCTTGAAGGAGACTAGATGTCATATCGCAAACTTCGGTCTAAATATTTTTTATCCATTTCAACTAATTAATTTTACGCCAACTAGCATTGGTCTATTCATTGTTTCTTGGTTAAAACTCCTTAGAAATCCTCGAGCGAGATTGTGAGGTCCCGTATCGTAACAAGAAGTATACAGTACATGTGAAAATTTCAAGCCGACGTTATTATCTTACTCATGCGGTAGTAGGATATTCGGAAACTGAAAGAAATCTAGTGTTTTTTTGTTATATGTACATTTCATACCTGCAGTTTACTATTCAGTAACCCTATCAATGACTCACATTTTCCAGAAAATATCATCTATCTCTTTACTATAATTATTTATTAACAATAATAAAACATGCTATATCCAATGCTGTTCGCTTGACTACTATAAATGAAATCTCAGCATAAAATATTCAATGGTTCAACAAAATTCCCGTTTAGTGAGCATTTAACTTGTGAATATTCTAAAATGAACATAGGAACGCGTTAAACGGTAATTAGCAGGTATTCACTCTTGTCTGTAAACGTTTATGATCAGTCCTGTTGCTCATATGACACTACTTTTCGACCCCTAATGCATTTGATGTATGAATTTTAAAGTTATTGTCAGTCGTTTCTCAAAGGATCAGAGAAGGAAGACGAAAATATACAAACCATTGAGTTGATACTCCTTAAGTTTTACAGGAATTAGATTTAGGTTACGTCATAAACGTTATACGTACAGTTATAAAACGTAACTTGTAAATTAAAATAAGTATGAAACAGGAAAACTTATGGTAATAACAGAAGTGTGAATAAACTAACAATTATATCTAAAAACTAATAGATTTTATTTAAATTTTAAAAAAAGAATCATTCACTAAATGGGTTTTTTCTTTAATATGAAATGCTATATCTAAATTTTACTATTCCATTATACGACATTATGGTACGGAATTTTCTATATTTATTTATTTCAGTCAGTAACAACGTAGAACTTCGTACGTACGTACATCAGTTCGAGTTGCCATACCACATTAGCACAGAGATGCAGTTGTCGATTCAAATCCCGTAGTGGTAGAGGTAGCAAGAGTATAAGCAGTAATCGGGAAGATTAGGGTTCGGAGATGTTACTTAAATAGTATAAAACAGTGAAATAAATTTGGGAAGAGAAAAAAGACAAGGATGAATCGGGAGATTAAAATTTGGGAAAACACAGAGTGTATGCACCTGCGCCATTGCAAACGATTTTGAGCCATGTCATTCAGGGTCTCAAGCCATCGGTTGCTATCATCACGCGGTCCCCAACCACGTAGTCTACACCTACCAACATGACTCAGTCCACTTGTCAGTGACTTCATGGACTTGTGCCATGTTTTGGTCTGGCCGCCCCTAGCTTTCTTCCAACCTACTCCTATACCACTGAACATCGCACGTCGAGGCAGTCGGTCGTTGGGCATACATAACACGTGTCCCAGCCATCTCAACTGATGAAGTTTTACTACGTCATCAATGGATTTGCCATCCTTACCTAGTACCCGTTTCCTAACAACTGCGTTACTTACTCGATAGTCCCGATGGCACCGAATACATATGCGTCACACTAGTCACCTGATTTGTGTGTGGGGTGGTACTCCCCGGGCCGAAGCAGGTGGTTTTATTAGAGGGCCACACCAGGAGCCTTCGATTTAAGGGTCTGATGCACAAGGCAATGGTAGTTGGTGACCAACAATAGGTTCACACGCCATTTGCTCCCCCAGGATCCTGGAGTTTGCGTACACCATTGGTTTGGAATCAGGGTTTTCCAACTCCCCTAAGTGGACTCTCCGTGTCCATCAACCCGGTATGGTATGGAAACATTTATTTGATAATCAACAATAATCTGTGATGAAAAATAGCTCGATATAGGTTTACAACTGATTGAAAATTACCAAAGTTTCAATGTAAAAAAAAGTCTAGGTAAATCTACATAGAGACAAACCCTTTTTTCATGTGTTAGCAAACTAACAGTAAATAAATGGATAGAAACAGGAATGCTTAATATTTTAAATCACTTTTGTTAACTAAATTGGTAATGTTGTAATTATTTTAACTAGTCAATGAAGGAAAAGTATAAATATTACTCTCGATTGCCAACATATTATTTGCTTTTATTACTCAAAAATAATAACTTGACAGATTAAAAACTTTAAATAATAAAGATGTTGCTTAAGATTGAAAATAATTTTTTTCAACACACAAACAAAATTATATTTTGATTGAATTGATTTATCACTGATTAATTTTAATACCGAAAATAACGCTTACACTAATTAAGTAAATGAAAGCCATAGAAAACAATAAACTAATAGAAAAAACAGTTGTGTTTTTCATCAAGATGACAAGTACACAAAACAATTATACTAATATTAATCTAAGTAACAAAAAAACCGAGTATTTTCAAAGTTATATTAGTTGTCAAACTTCTCACATGTATGTAATAAAAGAATTACCTATTAATGATATTAATAATGATGCCTATATGAGTCTACAAACTGTATTGGGTGAACGTATATATATATATATATATATATATATATATATATATATATATATATATATATATATATGCATATATATATATATATGCATATATAAATGTTAGTCAAATGATTAAAAAAAATACTGCTCATCTGTTTACATTCAAATACCATTTGTCAAGTAACTTCTATAACAACATTCCAGTGTATAAATAATACTATTTGTAATAATGATAATAATAATTATTATTATAAAACAACGGTATTATTAGTGTTATCTTATTGGCAGCAGTGACATTATTATTAATAATAACAATAGCAAAGATACAAATAAAAAGATTTTTCCAAAAAAAACAGTTGTAGAGAAAAGAAAGACAAAATAAGTTCATAAAAAAACAAAATACAGATAGCATTTATAGAATAATAATAATCAATATATTCACAGTGAGCAAATTATATATATATATATATATATATATATATATATATATATATATATATAAAGTGATCTCTGTATGATCGACGATAACCTAGTCAACAGAGAATAAACAAGAAATTAAAGAACGACTATTTGATGAACTGTTTCTAATATCAGTACTCAAAATAAATCACTACAATAACTAATCCCAATATTCTACTAAAGAATCTGAATGGATATTCATATGTTTAATAATAGTAATTTCAATGATAATAAGAGCGACAAAGATAACAACGAATTACAAGATGATACAAGAATGAATTGACTAGAAATTATATATATAAAGTTTATGTATTTATCTAGATGTTTATGTCTACTGCAATCAAAACGTAATAACAAAATGAACTTCTGATACACATACACACAAAATACAGTTACTTTTTATTGATAATAAAAAAATATAAGTGAAACGTTAGTGAACAAGATTGATCATTATGATTTTTTAAAGTAGAACTGATAAATTATCCAATAGCGTTTTTTGTTTTTCTTTGTCTCTAAATTAAAATACGAGACAATTAATTAATTGATGGATAAATGGGAGAAAAAAATAATGAGGATAGATTTCAGACTGCATAATCATCAATTTGAAGTAAACAAAAAGTATAATTTTAAAAATAAAAACAAACAAACAAATGATTTTACATTTAAACAATTGAAACAATCATGTATATAGTTAGATTAAAATTGAATAAAAGTTATTCATTTTAAAAATAATGAAAGATTCAATAGACAGATAGAGTAAACAATAAATGGAAAAGTACAAAGCAGACGAATAAAATGGTAAATAGAAAAAAAATAATAAATCACAATGAAAATCATTGGATTGACAAATTCTTAGTTTATTGTTTCATTATATTTTATAAGTTACGAAAGAATAATAATAATAATAATAATTAAATATTTATATATTGACTAGTCAATGTAATTGTCACAATACAGCCAAAACCGAATAGAAGACCAATAAGATTTGTGAGAAACATTGCCCAACAATTACCGTTCTCTATTCGTTTTGCATCTTCCATAGCACGCATTTCTGGAAGCTACAATATATAAATTGTAAGTGTGAGAAAAAAACAGAACAATAATACTGTTGTAAGAAAAAGAAAAGATATTTTAGTGAGTTTTATTGAACACTAAATACTACATAGACCAAGTAGAACTGAACACTAAATAAATATCTTAAATGTTTCATAATACTTAATCATATGGATACACTTGATTCAATGATCCAATCAACGATAGAGAACCAGATATGATAGGTCAGAACGAGAGTTTATTAATAGCACACAACATAAAGTAGTCGACAAGTGAATATAACATTATTGATTATACTAAGTGTAGATGGATATGTTTGTTATTGTTTACTAAGTGATCATAGGCTTAATTTCACTTGAAACATCAAACATTGTCACGCATCATGAAGAGAGTTATATAGGCTGAATATTGGTCATTAGACGTTTGATTTTCTTCTGTGTAGGGTTAACACGCTTTCCAGTCAAGTATTCAATAAATTGTGGAAAAAAGCGAGCATCAATATGCGATATTGTTGTACAACGATCATAAAATGAAGTTAGGTACCGGTAATAAGCGAAATAAGAAGTGTAAGTATCTTACAATTAACTAGGCTTATTTACTAGCTAGATGATGTAAAACTTCATTGCCACTATGTGTATGACAGTTTTATGATAATGAAAAACGAAGAAGCTTGGAGCCTACTAGAAATTTTTACCGAAGTCGACAGAGAAATCATTTTAATAAAGGAAGAAGAAAACTGAGAAATCATCTGCTCACTAGACGTCTTACTGACGAGAAGAACAACCATAGAAAATGTTTATCGTGGATCGACTAAACAAAGTTTACATAAACACCGAATGCTTAGATCACAGAGCCAAAATTATTTGTTCCGATAACACTCTTGAAGAGGAACTAAAATTTATTAATAATTTGCTAGATCAACACGGATACCCATCACAGTACCTAACGAAGTATACGTCTGGAACCAAGCCTATATAGAGACCATCAACGGTACTAAAATAGCCTCTATTCCTGAAAATACAGTTCAAATGTGATATAGCCGGTGAAATAGTAATTCAACGTGTACGAAAAGCTGTAGAGCGTAGATTTAATACACTAAGATTATGCTCTTTTTTAGTCAGCCAATAGTGAGTTCATAAAATAAAGATAAACTACCTAGTTCCCCCAATTACATGTATATTTACCATTCCAAAAGCTCTTACATACAACACAAGCCATAGGAATACATATCAATAAATTTAACCCTTTTTAAAGTGAACCATTTTATGTTATAACTCCACCAAAGGTGTAAATAAATTAGTATAAATGAAAATGTCAAATGTTGATTCACAAGCATGTACGGTTTAACTGATAAACATTTGATAAACAAAGTGATGTGCATTATCGTCATTATTACAAAAGTAATGATGGTAAGTTATTTGAGTTAAAAATTTAATTTCTTTTTTCATACTTCTAATTAATTCATTTCAATGACACTTTGTTATTTAGATGCTTTTTTACAACAAGAAACCCTTATTCGCCAATTTCTCGAAGTAAATAATAGAAACATATACTACCAATATAGGGTTTCGTAAAGATTATAAAATCTTCGTGCCTTTTATATCACGAACTTATTTAGGTTAGATAACTATTAAAAACCTGAAGTCACTAAACGTCCGTTTCGTTCAAGTATGGGACACCTCAGCAGTGCACAGTTATGAGCGCGCATCCAGGAAGTGGCGTTCAATCACGTCAAGTGGGAAACAGCTATCCACCCAAGACAGTAGAGGATGGTTGCGCAAGACTATGAGTCAATTGAAGTTATACATAAACACTGTTGGATGCCGGATCAGTAGCCTACAGGTCACACGTTCCCTCGCGAGACCTGATAAAGTCCTGGGTTCGGTTCCCGGATGCAGGGTCGTGGATAAGTACTCTTCATGAGTCCAAAACTAGGGCGAAGCGGCCGTCCAATGCTTTCAGGTTTTCAATGATGATCTTACTAAGACCAATTCGTGATATAAAATCTATGAATATATTAGTATATTTACGTCGACAGCCGAATGAACATTAAAAGCTACTCTACCATAAATTTCTTAACTAATTACTACCACTTACCATATCTGCAAGAGCAATATACATAAAGAAGCCACCGGTTAAAGCAAACACATACGGTGCTACATCATTTAGATCACCAACAGATAAACCAACAAACAATCCTATATATGCTGAACACGCAGAAATAAAATTAAATAACATAGCCATTGGTACAGTTAGTCCAGAACGTAGAAGTACAGCAATATCACCTTGAAAATGAAACATAAAACAGGAAGGAAGAGTTATATATTTTTTAAATACTGTTTTTCGACATGTTTCAACAAACAAATATACATTATGGATAATGATTAATGGTGAAATTATGGTATTCATGTTCCATGCTATTTGATAAAGCTGGTCAGATAGATGTTTCATAACAAAGCCAGTCAGTCATGTACTGATCAGATAATTAGTTTGATAAAACTACTTTAGCAACTTATGCTTTAATCGGTATCTACTTAGAAGTTGTCTATCGAAACATTTATACTTAAAATTACGATTACTACAAACAAATATATATTGAAACGACTGTAATTATGAAACACAAATATGAAGTAGTTACATATTAGCATATTGTGGATAGCCATGATATAAGTGACTGAATATGTTCATTTTAACAGTATTTAGGGATATCGACAATTACCTAACAACACGTCTACTTACTCAACCTTAGCTGCTACCCTGACGCGGTGGTCGGGTTTGCTTATCGCGATGACTCAACTGAGCTATATTGGCTGGTAAACATGTTCTTTTAAGTCCCACCATGCAAAGCAGGTAGGTTAGGCCCCAAGGACGAAGTCGTACTGCTGACTGTAGAGAGTTGTGACAACAGGTAAGATGTTTTCCTCGGATAACCAGCAGCTAATCAATGCCGACTCCTCATAACAGGAGGAAGAAGTTAGAAAAGGTCTGCCCAAAAATATCACACCTCACCTCATCCCACGGATTTCTTTCTTCGGCAGTAAGGCCGTATGAAGTGCGGAGTTAATACATTTAAAGCTCTCAATAAAAAGGCTGTGCGCGACCGGCCTAAAACATTTATCTCTTAAGCTCTGCGGTCACACTCATAGATCGCCAAGACCACCACTAATTCAGCTTTTTTTCAGTCCCTCAAGAAGAAATATTCTTCCATAGTGTGGGCAGCCGGGAAGTGACAACCGCCCTCATACATCCACTGATAGCACTCGAGATCAAATCCCTGCTTAATTCTGAATAATCCTTCCATCCCCACAACTATCTGTTCTCATAAATCTTTATCCACACGCGCCCCCGATGCTAATGCTTTGAGTTTACGAAATGTCATTCCTAGTCTCCTGAAACCACGCTCTAAACTACATGTTGAAGTTTTTAATGTTCAGACCTTGTGTCAGATAGGAAAACAAGCTTCTTTAGCTGCGACTCTAGAGTCTTGCGCCATCGATGTATGCTGTGTATGTTCTGAAACGACCAAACGGGATCCAAGTACGGTAATTTATTCGACCTCACCTTGTCAGTAGAAACAACCAGCACAATTTACCCATCGAGTATCTGGAGACCCCAATACTGCTTCCAGCGGCCTCACTCGTGCAGGCATAGTCTTAAGTTCTAAAGCAGAATAGCCTCTGTAAGACCAAATTCAAATAGAGAGTTGCTTTTGCGCTGTCCAACTAAACGGGATAGTAAAAACTCAAAAAGATAGAGACATATCGTTGCCCTGCTTACGCTCTTATTACTTGTAGCTTGGATGAAATTAAAGATTAATTTTTATAGGAAGATATCCAATCTCATTCGAAAAGTTAGATGTCCTGATGTAGTAATAGTGATGGGTTATTTTAATGCTCAATCAGGTAAACAAAACCAAACCGGAAGGCATTCAGGTGGATCTTATGATGCTGCAGCTGTGTAATCAGATAATGGCGACCGTCTGCTGCAACTATGATCAAATAACCATTTATTTCTAGCAAACACCAGCCTTAAACATAAGGAAAAGCATCTTATGACGTGACGACTTGCACAATAAATTCAGCGATTGACTGAAATAGACCACACTGCCATCATCTATCGTCGGAGAGGCTCAATAGAAGACTGTCGCTCATTCTGGGGTACATGCTTAATCTCAGATCATGCTCTAGCTCGAGCACGTACTTGTCTGAGTCTTACTGGATGTAGAAAAGCCACAGCAAGAAAACCACTTAGAGTTCAACTTAATGATGAAAATGTTAAGAATATATTTCAGGAACAACTAGAAGAGTTAGTCAACCATGGTATGATAGCCGAAAAGCTGTGGAAAAAACAGTGATATCTACTAACAACTTGAACCAAATGGTAAGGAAAAGTCAGTGGATTTCAGCAGTTCCTAATGAACCAACTGACAGATGACCAGAAACATCCCATCTGGCTCCGAACACGATGAAGAGCGGCGGAAGCTTAAACATGGGCTGATAAAAAGCTTACGTAATGATCGTGAACAATGGTGGATAGCGAAAGCAGAAGAGATGGAAAAGGCGGCAGGGATAGGTAACGGTAGACAAGTGTTCAAACTTATCAAGGTAACGCGTCTTGAAAATCTGGCTATTAGTGAAACTATCTCGGAAAAAGACGAGAGTATTATTCACTCTCAATCCAGGAGATTGGACCAGTTGGTACTTTAGAGAATAGCTCAACTGACCTCCAGTCTGAATGGCGAATTTTTGTAAGTCCTCCAACTTTTAATGAGGCTGAAAAAGCTATAAGTGGTCTAAAGCGCACGAGAACAATAGGGCCTGATGGACTAACCTCTGAGATTTTTAAGGATGGTGGTCTAGCGCTAGCGTGAATAGAATTTTCGGTAAATATCATCCAGCGCTAGCAGTCATCATCAACTGAAATCTTAGCAAAAATCTGGAAACTGAATGTAACCGCATTTGACTGGTCTCGATCGCTGATCGTTCCTGTTTATAATACAGAATAAAAATCTTTTTGTGGCAATCACAAGCGAATCAGTTCGACTAATAGTGTATTGTAGTATTATCCTCAATAATACATCGGTCTAATTAGAGCTCGTGAACAACGAACCCGAGAAAACCTGGCTGGGTTCAGACCTGGATGTGGATGTACAGACCAAATATTCACCCTTCGGCAGATCATAGAACATAGACATACTTTTCGATGTCCGTCAATAGTTGTAACCCTTGACCTTAGGGCGGCATCCCACTCCTTTGATTTTATGGCAGTGTCTATCATTGAAAGGCGTACCAAAAACGAACATTCACCTTGTCCAGGTTCTCTATTCAAACACTAATGGTCAAGTTAGAGCTTATGGCGAACTGTCATCAGAACTAAATACTTCAATTGGTGTCCGTCAGGGTCGTCCGCTTTCCCCATTATTATTTAACGTTGTCATACACGAGGTTCTAGAGATAGCATTTTCATCCTCTGACTTTCCAGGAGTTGATCCTCTACAAGGCGATACGTTTAAAATACACAGATGACATAGTTCTGTTTGGAGAGAACGCTGACAAAATGCAGTCTTCTGACCACCTAAAGTAACAATGTAAGCATATTCCGGAAGCAGCTCGCTTTCTCTAAATGTAAAATGTTACACCAAGACTGGCTTACGTCATCGCCTGAATCAGTGATAGTGAGTGGAAAAATTGAGGTCACGGACCACCTCACTTATCTTGGGAGTCTCACCAGTCCTGATGCCCTGGTATCTGATGAGGTCTCGGTACGGATTCATAGACGTCTTCGAAACATTGCTCGTGTATTTTGGGAACACGGAGCAAGCAATCTCTGGACTAGGCATAGAGTACTAGGTAAATACGACAAATCGATTGATGAGGTACTCAGTCTCCACCAATTGAGGTGGCTGGAGCATGTGTTATGTATGCCTAATCACCACCTACCTCAACGGGAGAAGTCTGGTGTTACAGCAGATTGAAAGAAAGCTAGGTAAACCAAAACATGGAATGAATCCATGGAGTCATTGAGGATTGGACTGAGCCATGCTAACAGGTGTGAACTACTTGGTTGGGGTCCGCACAATTATCGTAACCAATAGTTACAGACTTTGATGGACATGGCTTAGAACCACTTGCCATGGCGCAGGCGCATCCATTATTTGTCTTTCCCCAAATTCTGAGCTTCTGAATTCCTCATAACGTTTTTTTCATTTCACTAATTCGCATTGTCTTTTATTTGTGAAACTTGAGTTAAATGTATATGCAGATAATCGGTCTAGAATAAGATTGTCATGGAAACTTTGAGTGTGATGAGATCAAGGACGAATGTTTGATGGGCGTTTCCTATTTATTCCCTTACTATCTACCTAACCTGACCAGATCCTTAAATTTTTCCGGAACATTGGTAATATGAAATGGAGTTTGCCAATTCTACCTTAATTAATTAACTACAGAGATAAATAGTTAAGTGTTACACGTAAAGAATATAAGGGGCCTTGTAATGTTTTTTGATTTCACGTGAGCCAGAATGTGATGCGTTAGACTTTGTATAGAACATATTTCGTAACAAAAAGAAGAAAACATGGAAAAATAATTTTACCTAATTCATGTGGGAGTTCTTCACATAAAACAGCCAATGTTAAACTTATTCCTAAACCGATACTTTGAGTAAATCCAACACCTATTGAAAGTCCATCCATAAAATTATGGGCACCATCACCAATGAAAATCATCCACGCAACAGGTTCTAAATCACGTAGTCTATTTTGCCAACTTTTATGCTTTTTCAGTGTATGGGTTGACTGGATTATTGGTTGTGTATTTATTTGTTTATTATTACTAGGTTTTTGAAGTTCTGTAGAAAGTTCCTAAAACAAATATGAGTGCATAAAAGTTTAAAGAGAGGGTGAGGAAATCATAAAACTTCAGTCATTTCCCAAAATAAGCCTTCATATGATGTAATGTATTATTGTGGAGATAGATAAAAATCTTGAAGACTTTATCCTCAATCATAACACTGAATAGAGCGATAATTTCAACCCATGTACTATGATCCAATTCGTCAAGTTCATTTTATCATATCAGAGAGGATTTGAGAAAATTTGCACTCTCAGAGCTATCGTACTGGGAATTATTATTTATAGTTTTATTTTATAATTGTTAAATACATGAGCTATTATATTTACAATGTTTTATGTATCAGCGTTCATTTAGTTTATTAACTGTTGATACAAGTTTTATCATTCGTAAATTAAGGTTAATTAATGATTCCTCTATTTCTCCAGTTTTGCATTAATTCTAACTCATGTTGTGTACACAATGTAAATTCATTTTGCGTTGATGTATGGTTAATTATTTATTATATATTATCGTACGTTTTTGAGTTATTATGAAAGTACATAGAAAATTAGACGTATCTGCTTGCTAACTCTGTCTCTTTACTGGACACTGGATTAGGAGCTCGCTGTCCCATAATTATTAAAATTCCTTGGTCGTTACTCATGATCATTAAGTTCCTAATAAAATAGGTCATTGATTCAGTTAGGTATGAAGTTGAACTAATCACTTAGCGGACTCGATAAATACAACTACTGTTCATTACTAACGACCCGACCAAGCACGATCCAACAAGAAAAAATTCGTGATTTTGGGAAGTAATATCTCATCCTCTAGCTCCAACATGATGAATATAGCTTAAAATCATGTGTGATACATTAAATGGTTTAATGTCCTAAACAGAGTTTACACTGATAAGACTTGATGGAAATATATATATAATACAATCAACGGATATACAGATTTGTCATGAATGCAGGATAATCGATATGTCACGGAGATTCATCAATCAGAGCCCCGGTTATAACTTTCCTACCCCGCAAGTACTGTTTCACCTTTACCCTAATCCTAGCGTTGTAAGTTTTGGCCAACGGTAAACTTTAACTGGTACAATCAACCTTGAGTTGAGGCCAAGATAATCTATATTCTTATTGGTCCGCTGATACGCAAGCGTTCTATTTTCAGTATCGAATGCCCTGGTACGGCCGAGAGTGGGGAGAGTCCGCTCTCCCTCTCGAAATACTCTCACACGGCCACGCGTATACAGCCTCTGCCAGGGAAGTCCTACTCATTGCCTTCTCGTGGCGGGGGTGTTGTTTACGAAAATGAGAGGACGAAAAGCGAATGTCCGGCGCTTTAACCGGATTCCAAATCAATGGTGCACATGGGCTCCAGTATCCTGCGGGAACGAATGGCGTATGAACCAATCGTTGGTCACCGGCTACCATGGGACTGCATCTCCTTACGATGCTCCACTGCCTTGTGGGTTAGACCTTTAGGTCAAAGGCTCGGGGAGTGGCCCCCTAAGATAACCACCTGCTTCGGTTTGGGCACCAGGGCAGTATCACAGCCCACACACAAATTGATGAACTCTTTATGCCTATGGAAATTACCTTTCTCGCTTTGAAAAACAAACAATTGATTCAGATTATTATCAACACAATTATTGTCATTATTAATACTAATATTATTATTACTACTATTATTGTCATTATTGTTATTATTATCATTATTATTATTATTTTCCACATTATTCACCCTCTTTTATACTTATACAGCGGCTCGTCTTTGGTGCAAATCCGACTGTATCTAAACGTTCTCGAGTCACTGTCCGGTTGAAAATTGTATGTTACCACCGAATACGAGGACTGAAGCAGATTTTCTGAAACCACGTGCACCATTCAAACTGGCTGCCTTCAACGTTCGCACATTTATGCAGGTCGGACAACAGATAGGGCTGGCTATGTCTTTGGAAAGTCTTAATATCGACGTGTGTTGTCTATCCGAGACCCGTATTCAAGACTCTGGCGAAGTAATACAAATTCGATCTCCATCTGTCGCTTCGAAAAGCTTGTTTTACGTGCGCTTATCCGGGGACCCTGTGGCATCTTCGTCTGGTCTTGCTGGCGTTGGTGTCGCACTAAGCGCTAGAGCTGAGGCAGCACTAGTCGATTGGATCCCCATTAACAGTCGGTTATGTGCTGTTAGATTAGAAAGTTCCATCAAAGTGAGAAGAAATCGGCGTGAGAAACGATGTCCTTTCGTCATCTCCGCCTATGCCCCGACAGATTGCAGCCCGGATGCAATCAAGGATGAGTTTTACCACCAGTTATCAGTTCTTCTCCAGAAAGTGCGTTCGACAGATATTGTAGTACTAGCCGGAGACTTGAATGCTCAGGTCGGGCGTCTAGGCACAGAAGAGAGTCGTTTAGGTGGCCGATGGGGACTCGTTGGTCGCAGGTCAGATAACGGGGACCGTCTACTGCAACTTTGCACAGACCACAACCTGTTTCTGGCTAGCACTAACTTTCGGCACAGTCATCGCCGATGTGCCACCTGGCGTCCTCCCTCTGCATCTCAAGCCTGGACTCAGATTGATCACATCGCGATCAGCTACCGCTGGCGTGGTTGTGTACAAGACTGCCGCTCCTTTTGGAGTACCTATCTGGACTCTGACCATGCCTTGGTCTGCGCCAATCTTGCCTTACTTTTCAGTGGACAACGAAGTGAACGCCATCAACGGATTGATGTTAGCAAGCTGGTTGCAACTTCTGTTGCAAGTAAGTATCGAACCGAGCTAGCCTCTAGGCTAGCTACCACTCCACCGAAAAGTATAGATGAGCATTGGTTGCAATTGCGTGACGCCATGAAAATGGCGGGAACGGTCAGTTGTGGGTTTGCGAAACGTCCCACTTTTAAGCACTGGGTTTCTTCTGGTTCCTTACAACTCATTGAAGCCCGTCGGTCTACTCCGGGTGACCGTGAGTTTGACCATAAACGAAGGATGTTACGTAAGGAAATCGAGCAAAGCTTGCGTAAGGACCGAGAAGCCTGGTGGTCGATGCGTGCTAATGAGCTGGAAGCAGCAGCTGCATCTGGTAACTACCGGAAGCTCTTCCAACTCATCCGAGCCACTGGCAGCAAGAAGTCTGGTGTGAGTGAAACAATCTGCGAGGATGATGGGATGCCAATCACTAACATCCATCGACGTCTTGGACGATGGGTAGAATTTTTCGAAGGGCAGTTCAACTGGCCTGCTGCTCCGGCAACATCGGTCAGACTGTCCTGCCCTCCATGGCCGGTGACGACTGATCCACCAAATGAGGAGGAAGTCCGCAAGGAACTCCAACTCTTGAAGCGTTACAAATCACCTGGCCCAGATGACTTACCTCCGGCTCTTTTTAAAGATGGTGGTGACTTTTTGACTAAGGAATTGACGACGTTGTTTACAAAGGTTTGGGAACTAGAGAGTGTACCAACGTCATGGAATGAGTCGATAGTTGTCCCTATCTTTAAAAAGGGTTCACGTCGTTCTTGTAACAACTATCGGGGGATAAGTTTACTTCCGATTGCGTCCAAGCTATTGGCTTCCGTCATTCTTCGTAGGTTGTTCAAAACCCGAGAAAGATTGACTCGCGAGGAGCAGGCTGGGTCTCGTTCTGGTCGAGGATGTATTGATCATATCTTCACCCTCCGCCAAATGTTAGAACACCGCCATACTTTTCAAAGGCCAACAATCGTAGTGTTTCTTGACATCAGGGCTGCCTTCGATTCGTTGGATAGGACTGTTCTCTGGGATTGTCTATTGAAGAAGGGTGTGCCTGAGAAGTTTATTAACATCCTAAAAGCCATGTATAAAAACACCTCAGGCAGAGTGAGGGCATACAACCACCTCTCTCCATTGTTCCATTCGAGCAGTGGGGTTAGGCAGGGTTGCCCAATCTCACCATTCCTCTTCAACTTTGCCATCGATGACATTCTGGAAACAGCTCTGATGAATGTAAGTAATGGTGGTGTGGATCTGTTGCCTGGAGAAAGACTTCTCGACCTTGAGTATGCGGACGATATTGTCTTACTGTACGATAATGCCCAAGGCATGCAATCCGCACTTAATCAGTTGGCAATCAATGTCCGTAGGTATGGTATGTGCTTTGCACCTTCGAAGTGCAAAGTACTTCTACAAGACTGGCAGGATTCTAATCCTGTACTCACCCTGGACGGTGAGCAGATAGACGTAGTTGAGAAGTTCGTGTATCTGGGTAGCTGCATAAGTGCTGGTGGGGGTGTGAGTGATGAGATCAATGCACGAATAGTGAAAGCCAGAGCGGCTTATGCCAATCTGGGCCACCTTTGGCGCCTTCGTGATGTTAGTCTGACCGTAAAAGGTCGGATTTACAACGCGTCGGTGAGAGCAGTTCTGCTCTATGCTTGTGAAAGCTGGCCTCTCCGAGTTGAGGACGTTAGACGACTCTCTGTGTTCGATCATCGCTGTCTCCGAAGGATTGCTGACATTCAGTGGCAACACCATGTCAGTAATGCAGAGGTTCGGCATCGTGTGTTCGGGCACAGAGATGATGGTGCAATTGGTGTCACCATCTTGAAACACCGACTTCGGTGGCTTGGACATGTTCTCCGAATGTCGTCCCAGAGAATTCCACGTCGTGCGTTATTTGCCGACTCTGGGACTGGTTGGAAGAAGCGGAGAGGTGGTCAGTGCATGACATGGTGTCGTGGCATGAAAGAAAGCTGCAAAGGACTGGCTTGTGTTGGTCCTTCACGACTCCCTGGATGGGGTCCGAGAGATGGTGCTACACAGTGGCTAGAGACGTTATCAGATATGGCTCAGAATAGAAGCCAGTGGCGATCCTGCTGTAACCTTCTTTTACTTTCTTCATAAAAAGTGGTTGTGTCTCCTTTACCTGAAAGATTTCTTCTGATTGTACCTCTTCGTCATTGTTCTCTTTTTCTTTTGCGTTCCTTAGTTTTTTTTTCTTCTTTCTACTCCTCTTCGAATTCCCGTTGTTTTGTGTGGCGCATATATATTGGCGCTCTCTTGTACCAATATTTATGTGTTCAAATAAATAAATAAATAATAAATAAGAAGGAATACAGCATACAAGTTTTTACTGCTCTATTCTAGGCATCTAGTACTTTAATCTCAAACAAGCGTTAAGTTATTTACATGAATCATTAGATTTTAGTGCACCCCAACAACAGCCAATAAGTTCAAGGGAAGCCTACAACACAAGGAACATAGAAATACAAAAATCCAACTATCTAACAATTATTTAATAATATAATATACAATAGTTCAAACCATTTTAATATTCTCAATACTTGTTTCGTTACAACACAAAAAGCATCTGATTATTTTTTTTCATATTCCACAACAAATATTCACAGTTTCATAAGTAATCATGATAGTACATCTTAAAAGAAAATAATTTAACCATATAATTTGTTTTTTCTCTAATTTATAAAAAAATATCTTTATTGGGAAAGACAGAAGCATAATTATTCTTAACGAGATAGAATACTGAATTATCCATTAAATATACTTTAAATTATCATAACCATACGGTTAAGAGATAAATGTTTATTTGTACTATGAAAAATCGTATCATTCAACGTTGATCCCTTGATTCGTTGGCACGCGTTAATTAGAACGATAATAATAATAATAATAATAATAACAATAATAACTATCACTATGAATCATCCACGACTACTATATTTACACATGTCATTTTTATTTAGGAAAAACAAAAAATGATCTCATTCCTTAATATCATAATAATGATATTCGACTGTGAACATCCATCTTTACTGTTTGCTTATTTAAACACAATGTATATCTATATGTGTAAATTACTAATGGAATACACATATATTACTGTCGTCTCTTTTTTATTCTTCAGAAAAATAGCTAATACTTTGTTCAATGATAATAAACTCTACGTAAACTAATCAATATCTGATAATATTATCAATGTAAAGACACTAAAGAAATAGAAAAACTCTAGAAATTTCAAAAATTCGCAATTTTTAAAACAATCAAATAACTATTTGTAGTGATTCATTTATCTGAAAGCTTATAACGAAAAAAAATGATGATTCAAAGTATTTCTTTTTATTACATTAAATTACAGATAAAAACAATGTAATATATGTAGTTAGGATGATCTTGTGCTATTTAACTGTTTTGTGGTGTTGTGTAACGAGAACTGTGAATACAACTTTTTTTTCTCTAAATCATATTACCACAATGGCCTTAGTTGTTATTTGATTGGTTGGATTCATGAGAAGTTTGTTAATTTCCCTATCACAAGGCCATTCTGTTATTATTACATATAGAGTTATTCCATTTCAATTTCAACTGTAGAGATATCAAGCGTTTTTTTTTGCACTCTTATCTTTTTCCTATCTTCCACCAAGTTAGAGATTATTATCGGAGTGTTCTGTGTCAGTAGTCGGTCGTATCAAATTAGAAATTACCTTATTTGCAATCCTAAACGTAACATATATATATATATATATATATATATATATATATATATATATATATGCTGTTTCTTGTTTTAAGTGAAATAAACTTTGTAAAAATAAAATGAAAAGACCTTGGTAACAATTATTTAATAATATAATATACAATAGTTCAAACCATTTCAATATTCTCAATACTTGTTTCGTTACAACACAAAAAGCATCTGATTATTTTTTTTCATATTCCACAACAAATATTCACAGTTTCATAAGTAATCATGATAGTACATTCACAATGGTTTACAAAAAAATTTGAGCATGTGAAACCACTAAAATCATACAGATTGTCGATGAAATGTATTAATAACAGATGTCCTTAAAAGATGGCCGTAAAAATATAAAATGATAAAAGCTAAGAAAAAATATTAAGTAAATTTAAAATTCACCTAAACTATTTCACGGATTTCAGCGATGATTATAAACGAGTTTATCTATACAAAAATAACCTGTAGCCCATATATCGAAAATTGAAAACTTGGATTTCATTGTGTTTTTAAGACTCAGTGATAGTGGCGAGACCATAATTTATGGATGAACCAATCAGATTTATGATTACAGGTCTTATATTTTGGCGCAAAATTCATTCATTCATTTTAGCTTATGTCAGTTCATGATGAAAACCCTAAATCTTATTCCTAACCCTAACCATCAACTGAAAATCATAATCTTAATTCCTCGAACTGGTTTATAACCCTCATTCAGCCCTAGTAAGTAGATGAACATTCGCAAGATCACTTTAGTGTTGCTCAAAAGCAGTATATAAGTTATAGATTTACCGTGTTAGTTACTGAAACAAAAAAATTCATAGTGAAAAAAACAATTTCGAATTCTGTAAATTGAATCAGTCAGTCTATTATAAGAGTAACAAGGTAAAATAAAAAGATGTGTTGGTTGTTTTGATATTCAGTATGGGTATATGTTTTGGAAGTAGTACGTGATTTGAAACTTTTCAGACTAAAATTATCTTGATCTAATAAAGATATAGTTACATTGACATTGATAAAACATAATATCAGATATTTTGATTTATTACATTATAAACTGATTTGTTTCTTTAAATAATATCTTATTTGCTAAAATCACAAAAAACTTGATGTTGTGGTGTACAAACACAGATTGCCATTGTGAATGAGAAAACTATGATCAGATAGGTTTAAAATACCTAAAGACTAAAAGGTTATAACAATTATGTAACACACTGACTGAGAAACGACTGATTTCATAAACAATTAACTCATGTGGTGCAAAAATACTACTAAATTAAACAAAATATATATTGCGTAGGATTCTTATGAAATAAGGAAACAAATATTTAATGTTTGTTAACCTCTTTGTTTGACTTGAAAAGTAAGGTCAGTCAGTCAGCTACAACGTCGGACCAGGCACACATATGCATCGGTCCGAGCTGCCATGCCTCATTAGCACAACAAGGTGAACACCAAATTCATAGAACTAATTATTTCAATGATAGTAATATATAAAATAAAAAGGTTGTGTATAAGGATATAGTACAAGAAGAAAGAAGTAGTTCGTAGAAAGAAAGACCTACATTTCGTGCTATTCGGCACTCGTCAGTAAGGTGTACCTGTAATCCTGAGGCAACTAATGCTCTCTCTCCCGTATCACCCAGTTTCACACTCAGAGACGGTACCTGCGAGTTATCCGTTCCGGATGATGACGATAAAATTTGAAGGACCTGACATACATTAAATTGGTGACTATTCAGTGGTCAACCAATTGGAAATAAACAATCGAGAACGGAACAGCGATAAATTCAGAACAGAAAACTTATGCCTTTATTGGGGAACTATGATATGTCTTATCCCTTTTCACTTTCCAATGATATTGAACATAAAACTAGAGTGTCGTTCAGCCGATGTACAGCAATCTGCAAGAATTCTTATGGAAACTATGAAGTCAGAGTTGTGAAGGATAACAGTAAAATCCAAAAAGTAGAACACACTGCTTTTTATCAGTCGTTGTCAAACGAAAAACAAGGTAGCCTAGTCAATTAAAAAGCGTTAAACGTTGACACACAAGTGTATATTAACCGATATATTAGTCAGTCAGTCAGCATTATTTGTTGATAGCTAGCCTAAACAATCATTTGAGTCTTAGTTACAAAGAAAAATATTTTTAATGATGATGACCCACTGGAGAATTAGATTTCTTTTAGCTGTAAACGTTAATGGTAATTTTATCTTACTAGTATGGGTTCCTAATTCTTTTAAGTTGAATCAAGAGACAGAAATACGTTTACGATGACTAAAACTTTAGACCTCTATCATGTAACTGAAAACAATACAACACTTATGGTTGATTGACACATGATTATGAAAGTTAGGAATATAAACAGAATAGGAATGAGACAGTTTCTGTATAAAATGTAACTTTGCTGACTCAGTATTTTACGATTCGGCACAATGGCGTACAGTAGTAGTATAATATCATACTGGCACTGTGTATGATAACACTAGTTGTCACCATTGTCCCGATATAAATTAATGAAATAGTAAATAATAATGATAACAGTGATCGGTTAAAGTAAAAAAGTTATTCACCTCGTATGATGGCAGATGATTCATTACGTCTTCAGTTGGAGGCGATTCACACTGTAAATCTGTCTCACCACCTACTAAAGACCTGTTCATTGTTTTCGACTGATTAGAACGGTTAGGTGTGAACTCAACAATAGGCCCATCTTTATCACCATCTGCTACTGGTTCGACAGGTATTACCAGTGAAGGTCTTCCTTGTTGATGATAAGAAAGTTGATGGTGATGATGATGATGATTAAATTGATCTATATGAAACCCATTTTGACTTTTGTCATTCGAATGTGTTTTCTTTTTCTAAATGTGAGAACACAGAAAAAATATTCAAAAAAGTGAACAACTGAAATCAAGATGGCAATTTAACATGTTTTATAAAATAGTAGTCAGTATTATTATTTTTTATTCCAAAAACTATTATTAACATTGTCGGAAGGGTAAATACATTTTATCACTTCTTCAGATCATTTCATTACAAATGTTTCATTAAGATCGAGGATGATTTATAATAAATGTTATCATGTGTTCATTTTATTTACTGCCTTAACGTAATAAATATGTAAAACGGATAAGTTAAGAGTGCTTTAAGTAGTAGAGAGCAAGGTCTATGTCTGATGACTGCCGAAGCCGTTCGAATTCATTCGAGTCACCAACAACAAAGGGCTTGGTGCTAACAAAATATATTGAGTGAGGTTGATGTCACCTCTGAAAATGTCTTGAACACTGAGTGGAATAGTTTGATGGACACTGTGACTGGTCCATCGCTGCTGAAGCTCCAAACAGACGGTCATTTATTCGTTATGTGGTGATTAATAATGCAACTAGGTGACGGTCCAAGAGAAACTATGCCTCAAATGACCTACTCACAGTCTTTATGGATGAAGAAGAAATTATAGTCAGAGAAATAGAGGTGGGATTGTTAAGAAATTGGTAACAAGCTAAGGTTATTCCATCTTCTTATTCGTGCATTTAAAAATCCCTACGTAATGGACATAATAAAAATCGGAGTTTATATTTATCGCTGATCGTTTTCAAAATATTGGCTTCCATTACGCTCCATATATTGCGTGAAGTTTCTGAAAGACTGACTGGAAAGAATTGGACTGCTTTTGGTTCACGTATTGGATACGTAAATAACATCTTCATCCCCATCAAATATTTGGATGTCGTCACATGTTTTGCAGGACAACAAGCATAGTGTTTGTTGGTATCAGGGTTCGTTTTTGCTTGCTGGAGAGAATTATCCTCTGATATTATATACTGAAATGTCCAGAGTTTGATAAAATTTCTAAGTCCTGATACAAATCACTTTCAGAAGAGTATGAGTGTTTAATCACTTATTTCTAGATCGCTCCAAACTAACAGTGGGGCTAAACGGAGTTTAACAATCTCGCCATTCTTCTTTAGTTTTTCCACCGATGATACCTCCAAGATAATACTAAAGAAATCATATGGTAGTATAAACTTGGGACCTGAAAACAGACTGTTCAACCTGGAGTATACGGAACAATGTTTTTGTTAGCTTAGATATATCTTACCCAAGTTATTCCAGCCTACATAGCTTTTATCAATTAGTGATAAGTGTACTAGAATTTACAGATTTCTATAAGAACGAAAATTGCTAATAATCTGTATAAGTTTGTAACATGAAGTTAGTATCAAACGACAGAAGATATACAAATAAATTGAGAGTTAAGTTTCTGATCAGTTTTAAGCCATGATAAAGGAACATTTAGGTGAAACATAATCAACTAATCTATCACTAATGTAACTTCAAATACACTCTGAATCGAAATATTGTGAAAGAAAATTTGGTTGAAAAAAACAGTGAATATTCAGTAGTAAGAATTATTATTAGTATTTACGTACCTGAAAACACTGTGGAATAAGACGTAGGAAGAATTCCAAAATATAGAAGAAAAATACACCAATACATACGGTAATCGACTTAATAATAACATACGAGTCGGAATCTTTTGTATTGTTATTACCTGTTGGTTGAATGATTTGTAATGCCTAAAACAAGAAAGTAAATCCATTGTAAAAATATTCTAGTATACACATTAAAAGTAAACAAGAATGAGAAAATAGCTTAGCATATTTGAAATATTATTTTTATCCACAAATCAGAAAAATGTTTCCTAGATAGAAATGAACACAATTATAGAAATCTAATTATTGCAGTTATCAGAGACTTTCTAATTAAGTAAACTACAAAACAAACTAGATATAATTATTGTCTTTAACAATAAACTAGTTAAATAAAGGCTGACTTTAATCCGAATACAAATTATCGTACAACTTTGTATTTTTATGAAGTAAATTACAATATAATTGAAAAATATAACTATGTTATTTAGAAAAACAATGTAATCTAGGAAACATTTAAATGTTCATTTAAATTAAACAAATAAGCCACAAGATAAGCCACTAAATAGACTAATAGAGCTTTGAAATAAGTTGAAATTCAGGTAGTTATCAATACGGAGATTTGATTAGGCTTGAAAAAAGTGAGCTTCACTTCTTGTAGGCATTTGTGACTTAATGAAATAATAAGATGAGGTTCTTATATAACACTAAGACATTGAATGAGTACCATCCTTTATCACAAATTGACTGAAACGGAAGAAAGATAGTTCAGTGAAGAAAACATTTTTCGTTATAACGATGTCATTTATTTATGCTTTTCAATCTCCACAATCCTGTTCTGATATTTATTATTAGTTTTAATTACTAAAAAACAGTAGTCTATAATAAAATAGGATGGTGTTTGATGAATAAAGAAAACCTGAAGTGGTGCCTTGTTATGAAGAGTCCAAGAGGAATGGAAATGAAAAACTTATGTACACCAGAGGTTAAAGATATCCACTAATTCAAATCTAATCTTTGTGTACAAAAACAGTATGTTCATTCCCTTCCATCGTCTTAACCTTCCTTTCTATACTCCATAATCCTTCGATTTTTATATTCCTACTCCTTTCCAATGAATTTCATAACTATTAATTAGCCATTATTACAACTTTTAATTATTCTGTCCTTAACAAGCATCAAGTGGACAATTATCTTCACCCTAACACCATCCACTAGTCGATTATTACATAACTTCTTTTCAAGATTTGATTTCCGTAAATAATTCAAGTCTTTTCTTTCTAAATTATTGAACATTATTGTATTTTATTATAAACTAACATTTTTAGAAAATAAAATCAACTATATATATGATTTCATAGCTTAAATAAATAAAATCCTTAAAAAGAAATAATTTTCTTTCTGGGACTATATTTATTCTTTTCAACGATACAATGGGTCTCTTTAGTTATTTTAAATGGAATATATGAATTAACAGATTATAAATCAATGATCTATAGATATTTTGCACATTACAAGACTTGAAAATCCTGGAGTTAATCACATGTATGCATAATTAAACAGTTTTAAATTAGAAAAGAAACAGAAATATTTACCTCAGGTATAAGTACAATAATGGAAGTTGATAATAATGAACCAACAGCAGTAGCCACCATAAATGAAAGTATTGTTGGGAAGAAACGATATTTTTTAAGCAACGTAAATACAATTCCTACAAGAGCACATAAATTAGTTAGAGTGACACAAAGAAATCCATAGCCCAAGCCTAAAAAACAAAATAACAGGATATTTAATAAATTTATAATTCATCAATTAAAATATTTCTTTAAAAAATGTTGAACAAAACTTCTAGTACAAGACGACAATATGTATTTGTCATTTATGTGTCATTTAATTTGTGTTCACTTCTCTCTTTGCTATATTCAATCAGAAAGTAATGATACGATTGTTTATAAGTGAAGGGGAAACATTTAAACAACCAAACTTTACACTGAAATTACAATATTTATAAACTATGTACATAAAAAACTTATTTCAAATTGATTGATCACTGGCTGAGTAGTGACCAATGTCATATTTATCTAGTCTTTTGGTATTCATCAACTAGACAGGAGGTCAGCCACGAGTCCGAATAGCTTAATGATAACGTTTTACACTGAAACTGCATGATACGGGTTCGAAACCACCAACGATTATTAGTTTCTTCAAGATTACACGTACAAGTTGCTGATGAATACCGAACTGCATGGAACCTATGTATAGAGTTTCCTGTCGACTCCTTCCAAAAATCTAACGTGATAATTGATAAGATGTGATGTAGATTAACTTACCGAAGGAGCCAGTATACATTTGGTAAATTTACCAGATTACTTAGACGTATAACACTTTAGTTATGAAATTATGTACATTACAGAAAAAATTAGTGTATTTAATTTACAGATCACAATAACATAAGACATAGGCATTAATTCACTACAACAATTATCTAACAACTAATCACAATTAAATAATTTTCGAATCCAAGTCGCCTACATTCACACAAACAGCTAAACAGTACTATTGAGAATACACAATAAAGTCTACTAAATTTGGAATTTGGATTCATGTAACTCAGTGTTGCACTACATAGTTTGAAGAATTAACAACAAATAGAATAAATCAACATGATTAGCAAAATGGATAAGCCTAATCGAAAGGATGCGAAAACAACTATCAGTTAGTATCTTTAAAAATTGTGAGTTCACGAAGAGTATTTTTGATATTACTAGAAATCCTGATTGATTATGACAAGCATTATTGAACAATATTAGCTACAGTGAAATTTCTTATTGCATTTCAATTGTTATTGCAGAATGTAAAATTTAACAAATAAAATGGCCTGAAATTATCAAAACATCCTAATCCATTTAGTTTATGATATGATCACTTGTAAACGCTATTGAAATCCTCGTTTGTATATTCGATGTGTTCGCACCTAAGGGCATGCTTTACATCACAAGTAACTTTTTAGACTAATAAATATTAAATGTTTCGAAGCTTAGTTCTTTTTTTTAGAGAATTCTCTGTAATTTAAATCAATGACCATAACGATAACCCTGTCACTAATAATAATAATATTGATTAGTCAAGGACCGCCATTTTATCGGGTCAACATCGAACTCTCATGAGGTATTTTTACTCTAATATATGTTTACGACAAAAATTTACACAATAACTTTCTGATTGACAAGTGAATTATTAGTTTCTCTTTCCTAATATTTAAGGTTAAACATGAAATGATATTTAATTAATTAGGGTTTAATTATAATGGTAAAGCTTACTCTCTGTAAACGATGGAGCGTTCGGGTTTGCCTTGGAACTATTGTTAATTAGCGACTGATTACTGTTGGACTTTAGTTAGAACAAAAAAAATAAAAATTACTTCACTACAAAGAAAATTTACAGATTTCAATTAGAAAATAAGTAATGAAATTAACGATAAGAATATTAACTTATGGGTATATGTCTGTGTACGTTTTCTACTTATACATTAATGTAATAATTTTCATAGTTAACTCTTGGAGCAAAAGCCTGCTGAAAAATAGGCTAAATGTTAGTCGGTGTTTGGCTACAAGGCAACACACATCATAGTCAATGATTTATATTAACGTTTATGTACCAGTCAGTAATTGACAATTTACATTTTCAATGTTGATATTGAAATAGAACATGAAGAAGACTGTACAACATAAGCAAATTCTATACCGAGAAGGATAAAAAATGGGCTAATAAAACATGATATAGCTTTAATCTTTTTACTTGATAAATCCCCTTATACCTGAACATTACGTTTTTTCTACATCGTAACAACACAAATAATTTCTAGATAACTGATGACGTTTAAAAGTGAAAATTATGGTATTCATGAAAGTTAGTATACTTAATTTTAGTGAATATTAATGATTTATTAAGACAGTTTTCTTAAGTGCTTTTGTGAAACAGAATCTGTAGGAAAAAATGGGCTAACTCATTTAGAAGATCCTGTAATTAGTTTAAAATGTTTAGTACACACTATTTTAAAAGTAGAGCCAAATTTATTAAATTTTCATCAAAATTTATTGAAAACCTCCTACATGAAAACCATGGACTCAACACAAAAATGACTGCATCTTCTCTTACATTTATCGGATAAAACTTGATTCAGTGTATCCTAAGATAATCTCTTAAACTAGGCGGACTTTCTGAATTAATTAGGTAAATTCAAGGCCATTAATTAGGACTTCTATTCCTCCTTTCACTGATGACAGACTGCTACTTCAAAAAATCGACCGAACAGTATTTGTTATGCTATTAGAGAATTCATCTTAGCTTTTAGCCAACACCTAGTTAAACTCGTCAATTGAATGGCATTTGTGTCATGTGATCAGGTACCTAAATGATCTACTGCCTTGTGAAGACAATAATTTAGAGACGCCCACAGTAAACCATCAAGAATGCTTGTACTCACACTTACTCCTACACATATATAGTTGTCAAAACTTAAACGATTTTGAAGCGTGTATGGAAGACCGAATTGCTTACACCACTTGTAGCAGAAACTATTTCAATTATTGTTAAGGCAACTTCATATCATAAAATAGCGGAACAAAAAAATATATGACAGGAAAATGAGGGATACAGTAGATAAATGAATTTAACCTTCTCGAATGACGCATTATTCATTCTACATAACCTTAATTATTAGTCTACGTTATACATGAAAAGTGTCCAAACAAAAAGAGAAATCGATCAAAAGTGCAAAAAAAGATTAGTGAAACACACACTTAAATATGTGTGCTGTGGAAATTGTGGTTATTATAAGAAAAACAACTGCTGTTTTTTTGTAAACAGACATTCGAACGATATTTGTAGCTCAAAGTACGGGTCTTTTCAACAATGATACTGTGTGTAAAAGTGCAGCAGTTTAAACTTATCATAAATCTTGTAGTAAGTGATAATATTTAAAGTCAAATAATCACAACACAGTAAATAAAGATTTGTTTGAGAATAAATACCATAGCATACAAATATGTCGACAAGTAGTACTGCTACAACAAAAATAAGCTTACTTGACTGGCTATGACCTCCTGACATTTAATTCTACTCACTAGAATGATAAAATAGATCGTTACGGAGAAAGCTCCAGATAACTTGTTGATCTGTTTCATGTTCTACAAAATCAAAAGTGACACTTTCTTATTTATTTCAATGAGGATATCAAATTCATTTTAAAATAGATTATTTTGATTAATAGAAACGAAAAACATTAGGAAGAATATCCTAAAAATACTTTTAAGCTCGTTGAAATGAAATTAGTATGAAACGACAGCTCATAACGGTAATGAAATACAATGGGAATGAAATAACGATATGAAAACTAGAGACTAATTTCACATTTTGGCGGGTATCTAAGTTCCTGCACTTAAACGCCTCATACTAATCAACCGTATAATCTTTATGACAGTAATTCTCAACGGTGTATAAACCAAAGTAGTCAGAAAAACTTATTTCAGACACACGATTTATATGATACAACAGATAATTAGAAAACGAGAGAAGAGAATGGATGAAGTGGTATTTACGAAGGGATAAGTATACAAATGGATGTGTGTGTATGTGTATATAGTTTAAACAACTTAAGTTTCAGTAAGCGGAGTAAATATGTAGACAAATGCATGACAAATCTGTACATAGTCATTTACATGTAAATTCAGAGAAATTATTAAAAATTAAAATAATTCTACTTATCTGTCGAATATATTGACCTAAATGCTAAGTTGGTTTGAGCCTGTGTGTAAGGGCATTATAACGGATCTTAAAATGTAATTACTATTTTATTTTGTTTTCTTACTTTCTTTGTTGTAATGAGAACCACAAATTCCGTCTAGCCAAAAAGTAAGATGACGAAATCATAGATATCAATCTTTTGTAAATTTGACGGTACATCTTTTCATTATTTGTGGCACAATCAATAAGAAAAAATGGACAATATAGTCCAGTAAATGAATTTTGGTATATTTAAACAATTTTAAGTATCATGAAAAAGTGTACAGACTATTCTAGAATCATGAAGTGTCTATGTTCATGTAAAAGGTGCCTCCAAATTTGTAAATACTCTTATTCATTGGTGATCAAATGACTTCCCACAGAATTGCAGATGCAATAAAATAGTACGCTTAATAAAGCCTGTTTCATAATCGGCTTTCATAAATTTCATTTTCCAATAGGTTTACTAGTAAATAAAGACAAGGAATATACAGACATTATGGGCCATTGTTATTAATTAATAACATTTATTTATTATTTATTTGAACACATAAATATTGGTACAAAGGGGCACCGAATACATATGCGCCATACAAGTCACTTGATTTGTGTGTGGGCTGTGATACTGCCCAGGTTTGCAGACTGGAGCAGGAATTGATAAAATGAAAATCAACAACTGTCAAAAGATAACGGTTGTTTTTATGATGGATGAAGAAAGATTTCTCTCGATATGCTTCAAGAAATCCACTGTACAATGTGCAGTCTTCAATTATATGAGTCCATCTAGTTTTTCAACTTTATTCAGATTATTACGATGACTGTTCCTTGAGTAGAGGACGGTAAAACGGTGAGCTTGTGGAACATCTGATAAAAGGTGAGTACACGAAAATTAAACTGTGCGGACTAGTTGTTTACCCTAATTGAAATAGCCAAACCGTGAGAAAAATATTTTAAGCACATAAGCTAGGTGATAAATAGTTCAGAAGTAGGCTTTTCAATATGAAAACTGATAACAGATGTTGAAGTAAGACTAAGATTTAAAGGTTAAATTTTTCTGCATTCATTCAATGTTCAGAACTTCACTTTCATGAAAATGATCCTCTGGTTAATGAGCAATATTGAGGGTCTATTGTTTAAAAAAAGTCAAGTATTACAATTACATAAAAAATTCACCACACGGTCTTTCCAATTGACTGGATATTATTTACTTGGTAAGCCCAAAGCGAAAAGTGAAATCCACTCAAGATGACCTAGGCGTTTATATTATTACAAGTTTTTAATAATTAAGTGATCGTTATATCTTTCTATAATAGTGCTCACGCGTTCGTATACGACAGCTAATAAGATGAAATTTACAAATAGGCATAAATGTCGTGCAAACCCTCCGTCCTTAAATCTAGAAAGCATTAGAATGCAGAAAGTCTATTTAGTTCGTTTAAAAACTTGTTACCTAAATGTGTCTGGATTCTAGAGTTGGTTTTCACACCATTTTGACGTTTGGAGTTATAGATACTAGGTTCAAGTGTGAATATTAACTCTGAGTTCTACGGACACCCAAAGGACTGGAAACCAATGTGATGAAACACAAGTACTGACCAACTGTCTCAAATGCTGTTGAAGAAGTAATCAATCAAAGCAAACAGCAGCAAGGCATTCTTTTTAGGAGCTCTACGAGATTCATTCCATGTTTTGGTTTACCTAGCTTTCTTTCAACCTGCTGTTACACCAGACTTTTCCCGTTGAGGTAGGTGGTGATTAGGCATACGCAACACATGCTCCAGCCACCTCAATTGGAGACTGAGTACCTCATCAATCGATTTATCGTATTTACCTAGTACTCTATGCCTAGTCCAGAGATTGTTTTCTCCGTGTTCCCAAAATACACGAGCAATGATTGGATAGTAGTAACCTTCGAATATCCTCTACTCTTAATGACCATGTTTCATATCCATTAAATAGAACGGAATGAACTCGCCATTTGGTTAGAAGACGGACATCTGGCCTGTGCCACATGTAACTAATGTGCAAACAAACCCAATAAACTTGACCCTAACAGGAGAAGTGATTGATGGAGTTAATAATTTAAAGACAAAAGAAGACTCGATGTAATTTCCACAAGTAGTGACACTATTCTTATAGACATCCTTTGTGGAACACTTAAGTGACCTTGAAGGTGCACCTGATAACTAGGACTACGTGAGGGTTATAAATCGGTGTGAAAAATTATGATAATGATTATCGGTTGATGGTTAAGGTTAGGAATTAGATTTAGGGTTATAACGACAAAACGCTATTTAGCCAAACGGGTAAATGAAATCCACGCTAAAATGAAACCTGTCGTCTCATGTCTGACTGGTTTGTCCATAAATTATGGTCTTGCCGCCTGACAATCAATATTATTATATGACGTAAGAAACAGGACATGCACTAAATGTCACCGAGTCAAATGGATTTTTGAAAAATATTTTGCGGAACGGAGTAGTTCACTATATAGGCATTGTGCAATCCGTACTTAACGCGAACAATCTCAATAATCCCCAGCTCATTTCCAGTAGGATTAGGTCTTAGTTGTGCTGAAGGGATATTATTACTTGCAAAGACTATATAGAAATGTAAAACGAGACCTCAAAACGTTCTAATGACATGTTTTTAGAAATGAAATTTACGTTCCGATCTGCAATAGATTTTAATTTACTTACAAATTGTGACTATAGCTGCCAATTACTGTTGGAAACACTCCAATGACAACAGCTACAGGTTTATAATCCAAGCGAGTAACCTTGAACTTTGAACGGTGTGCAAGCACATTGGAGAGTGAATCGAAAGGTGAAGCAATGTTCAATGAATATTGTTTATTTAGTGAATAGAGTGTATTAGACAATGTTCATGCCTTCAAATTTTTATACAAAATTGCGTTTGAATCATTCGGTATATGTATTCATTCACGTACACTTTTCAGTTGTCAGGGTTAATGATAATATTTTAAGCGCTTTGTGAAAACCCTCGTGCTGCGTACTATCGTAAAGATACTATCTCCCTTCGGCTTTTTCAACAAAGGTTCTCAGATTGTGTGTTTCGGCGGGGGATCCCAGTCATCGACCACTTGATGAGTGAATCTAAACTCTGGGTGCAAATTATTCAATATCACACTTTGTACTATCTCCAGCCTCCAGAAATTATGATGTTAGGCCAGTCAGTCTGTGCTAATCCTTGGATCTTTTTTCCAGCTCAGATCCATCTCGTCGTTCAGATTATTCACAATTAAAGTTTTTCCAGTCCCTGACAACCACATAAGAATAAGGGAATCACACTTAGTTTTTTTGACAGTCGTTTTTGAACTATTTTGCTAAAATCTTGGCGTTGATTAATCCAAGCCGACAGAACAACCTGGAATCCAGTTTGTTATTCTTATAAGCCACACCGCACGTCTACACTCCGTAACACAACTGTCCATATTCATGTGAACACGTCACTACCAAGTGCCTTATTTGTATTCGATTGTGCGTGAGAGTGACCTTCATCAAATGACATCATCCCCATTCCCTTACGACTGATAACTCTTTCACTTATATTATGGATCCACTCAGTGTAATTAAACAAAATTCTAATTTTAGGATGAGTCATTTTTTAGTGACGGCATTCACATCAGATCTTGATCCCCTCACTATTACACTTAGCTCAAACATTTCATTTCGAAGGCTTTGAAGGTTTATGTAGTACAAATTTATTGGGATGATCACCAGCCCTATCCAAACGGGTCTTGTAAGCGTTACCTCTTAAGATCTTATCACTCGATAACGTTAAATCTTGAGGAGGAATCGACCATTTTTCTTTCAAGTTTGTAACTGTGGGCACCCGTTCAGCTTGATACGAGCCCCAAGTGACAAATCTCACTTTATAAGAATATTGAACTCACGACGTCTGTGTGAGCAATTTAATGTAAGGTCCTTATCGATTTGCATCCACTTACTGACTTTGAGATCATTCTTGATTAGGTCTCGTACTAAACCCACTTGTTGTCTTGTTATCATGGTAACATATACTAACTGAGCATCTTCTGCTGCATTACTTTCCTAATAGATGACTACACGAACTATGAACCAAGCACATTCAGTATAACAGACTCATTATCTTCCGACTCATCCATACTCCAAATGAACAAAGTTAAAATTGGACCTTATTCTCTTAAAAGTCTTGTCAATGGCGTTCGAAAGTCTTTATGTTTTTCCTTTCTAATAAACCCATCCTTTCTTGATGTCTAATTTGTCGGAGAGAGTTTCTCTTTCTTCACATCGTATGGCTGGAATCACCCTGGTCAGCTGTGTTTAGTAGAAATACACTTTCTCTGGGTGGCATTGTTTTTATCTTGATAGCATGAGTGTGTATATTACTTACTTGCGCCTGTTACTCCTCGTGAAGGAGCATAGGCCGCTCATCCAAGCCTGTCCTGGAGTTACTTTTTTCGCCCTGTGGGCTTGTCGAAAGTGGGATTCTCGACCCGCATCGAGAGCTTCGCTGACAGCGCTAGCCAATAGACTGATAAACATTTATTCTTCGGGCTTCAAACTCATCGTAGACGACACAGTCGTTTTATTGATTTTTTAACCATAGTGAGAAGTTATGCGGCATTCTCTACATTACCAGGATGAGGTTGGTATGCAGCAACGTTTATACAAGGTCGGCTATAGATTGGTAGGTATTCTACGGAACTATGTTATACAGCTGTCATACTGCATACCACCTCTGACAAGAAGAACGCACAGTAAGGGACCATAACAGTTAATAGAAGCAAAACTTTTGACCAACATTGTGTGGATTAGATAAGAAGAAGTTCGAAAGACAAAACATATAATGTTTGAAGTGGAAATCATAATTGGAATATTTATACGAGTTCGGCTGCAGAAGGCGATCTAATAAATCAGTGTTAGTCCGGATATGCAAAGTCGCTCTCGTTTAGTGTTCAAGCTCTTTTGAGTCGCTTGTGTTTTGCGATTATATAAAAGTCCTAGTTTCTTCGACGCTAAGTGTTCTGAAAATCCTCTAGGTCACTTGATTTCATCAATGTCCTGAAGTTTTTGTATTACCAAAATGTACTCAATATATCATATAATTTCAGAATAAATATTAGCACAACCTTTGGTTTTCTTAAACAAATTTTTTTTGAACGTTTGCTTTTATAGTAACTCACAATCCACTATTCGATAATGCCATTATTATTAAACTTTGTTAGGCATGAATATCATACTACTTCCTTTTTCTGATATGGTAATAATCTCACTTTGCTCCCTCAGGTAGCTTTTCCCTAGTTGTTTGGCCTGACCTTTATTGAATAGCAACTTTTATCTTAATCAAATTGCTGCTTTCAACATATAGTTTGTAATATATTATATACCTTACGCTTGTGTTATTTCTGACTGCATTCAGGTGCATTCGTTATTAAACGTAGGTGCGTGTTTTATGCTCACTGAATCATCTGCTCACTTTTTCTCTTATTTATTTCGCTTTCGGACCTTCTCACATACTGCTCCTCGCACCTTGGCGTTAGACGCAAACTTACTGAAAACGAAAAGTTACAGATTGTTAAGGTTTGATCACTCCAAGATTATTCTGTGAACTTTTTAATGTGTATTATTTCAAACATCCGATACCTCATCATCCTCTTCGTCTATCATGGTCCATTATTATTAATAACTTCACTTCCGAGGTTACCATGCTGCAACACAATAATTGGGATTTAGGACACAGCTTTACAAAGATTTTTCCAACTCCTAAGATTAAAGTTTGACGAACATTCAAAAGTACAAACCTTTCGACAAAAATAACAAGCGTCGGTAACTTTCACATAATAACAGTTGTTTTCAGAAGTTGAACGGTGTACAAAAATGTATGAAAACTGAATATGGGTACAAACGGGTAAAAATAGCAGTTCCAAGAATATAGACCCTTGAAAACCGTTGTAGCGGTAAATAAATCCTAAAAATAAATAGCTCTGTAAGTTTTCGACATTGGATGTTGACCACATTAGTTTTAATGGACTCACCTAGCTGAAGGCGCTCGGTTATGCATCAGCACCAGATCACGAGTGGGAACGCCGTGCTCAACAACCCCTGCAATAGCTAGGCAGATTAGATCAGTCGGTTCACAATATATTGATAACCTATGAAATATATCTTCGAACTTTTTCGCTTCTGTCTTTTGATTTCACTTGATGGGTACGCTTCATAATAGCTGTTACTGGTTAAGGCGTTAGTATGATTAGTATGATACAGTTTTTGGCGATTCACATAACTTACTTCTCTGTTTACCCTAATAACAAAAATTCGCATGCGCTTATCCAACATCATAGTCTCCCACTCATTACGTCCTGCCATAAAATTCAACGTGAAGAAATATAAATTTTATTAGTAATTATTTGACACTGGTGAACTGAATACATATTACACACCCGGTAACATCAAACAATGTTCATTAAGTTTTGAGGATCAATGTGTGTATAGAGGGTTTGGAGCGCAAGAAAATGAAATGAAGTCTCTTCATCTCACAGGATTCATTGTTTCTGGTCTACAAGGAATTTTAAGCGGGGCTGATTAGGTGATACTAAAATGCCAGAAAAAGGATAATTGAAGATATAATGCGTAACAGTTTTGCCCTTGTTGAGGCGGCAGCTAACCAATATGTTAAGGGTAAGGTCCTTAATATCTGACTCCAAATAATAATATTCCGTAACTGAGTATTTAAGGTAGGCTTAATCTCCTAGTAGAATTACGGATTCACTCGAGATTATTAAGAAGCCTGAACACCAGTTATGGAGATAGTTTATTATCAATGAATAATGATAATCCACAAGCGTATTGTGAGCAAGCACACGATGGGAACAGAGAGAGTGTGAGTTTGTTAAAAATCCATATATATTTGAGGGTTAATCGGGTGTGTATAAATTATCGATTATCTGCACGTTGAAACCAATAGGAAAATAGTTTAAAAGTTAATGTACAGACATGCATTCGATCATACACACCGAAATTAACATAGTGAATTAAGAGTCTAAGTTACAATGAATAGACAGATGATACAGTGGCCAAATGGGCTTGCCACATAAGCTCCCATCCAGAACATTGATGTTTTTATGTACCAAAAAAAAATTGGATTAACATCTATGTTCGACAAAGAGATAAAGAACGGAACTGTTTTTAAAATAAAAGTACAACTCAATATGATGAGTAAGCGTAAAATTGTAATAACAGCTTGTGTGTTGAAACGTTTCATATCATGTATATACAAGTGTATATTTAACATTAATGAATTGTATAAAGTTAAAATGTAAGCATAATGATGATCCGTGGGGCCAATAAAAAAAAATAGTAATCAAAATAAAGTAGGATTTTTATGTGTTATAAGAGTAGTCTCAGGATTTGGTCTAGATAAATATGGTGGTTGCTACATACCTATCTGGCCAATGTACTCTCCTTCTTGATCTTGTTGTAGTTTGTGCTGCTGCTGAATTTCGATTTGAAGTGTTGCTTGTTGCAGGTAGTTTGAATGGTGCTTGCTCTGCTGCAGGTTTAGATGGTTTTACAGTTGTCTGTTTTTTCTCAAAAATATTTCGTCTCATACCGAAAGGTACAAAAGGGCGAGTTTTGCCTGTTGAGGTATCACAAGTTAAGGTGTCCTTGTTGTTTATGGGGATGTTTTGGAATAATAATTTCGTTTCCTTAGACTGCAAAAGCTTTTGTAGCTCCGTATCGAGCTTTTGATGCTTTGCCATTTCTTGATAGTCTATATCAGGGATCGAGAAG